CCACTACCGGAAAACCCGGCAGTTCTTAAAAGCTGAAGAATTCCAAAGGAACTGTTATTTTTACAGGAAAATACAACAAAGTATATTGTTTACATGTAGCGCATCAATTCTACATGTTATGTAAGACTCTCGCTCGCTCCTTCTCTTTGCTCACAGTGAGAGAAAGCGACGGCGAGTCGTGCGTCTTCACACTCTATAGGACCTACAATAATGTACAGTATTTGAAAAATAATGTGTTTTTTTAACATTAAAGCATGTCAATGCATTCTGTTACACCAAATACACAAAATAATGATCTTTAAAAAAGCATCATATGACCCCTTTAATATTAACTTCTTGTTAATTGAACTGTTGTATAAAATAAATATCACATTTGTAATCATGCTGACTTTTGGAGAAAAAAACTGCACTCTTCGTGTGATATTAACTATATGAAATGATATAAATATATAAATTTTCTGCCCCCATATCTTGAATTATATCATTCTAAATGCATTTTAATAGACTGATTCATGCCATGAAAGAACGCACTATAAATGCGCACTAGTCTAACTTGCTAGACTTCATCACGTAATGTATGCGCACACTCTGTAGGTGTTTTGTTTGCTTTTCGCGACAACAATTACGATATTATCACAGACCATGCATATCGTACACCCCTATTAGATTTTTAAAATGCATTGTCTTCTTATCAATCCACCAGTTCATATTTAAAGATCTGCGTGTTTGCAGGGTAAAAACATGGGTCGATTTTTGCATTTGTCTGAACTCTGAACAAAACAACAGTTTTATTGAAAATGCTAATTCATTCTCTGACAGCAGGTGGAGCGTTTGGCAGAAATATAAGTGTTTCCCCGTTAACGCTGTACACAAAGCAGTGCAGCACTGGAATTTGAACGTGCAGCGCTCATGTTTATTTCATGAAATCATAGACTTTTGAAGTTTAATCGTTACATTCAGCCATATTGCAATTCTGGTCTTTCCGTCCCCAAATTTAAGATCTTGAAATCATAATTAAGACTTTCTTGTACAATTTAAGACCTTTTAAAGCCTTAAATTTGATACAACTAAATTTAAGACTGTAAGACTTTTTTAAGACCCACGGAAACCCTGGGAAGGGTACCAAAAAAGGTGTTATGGTACGGTTCGCTATTTTGGTACCCTTCACAACTTCTGACAATGTAAACAGACATAATTGTGTACCATACCTTACCGTATTGTACTGAACTGTACCTCTCGGTGGAAACAAGCCATTAGTGTGTCCTAAATTTATTTCCCTAAGACTGTAGGTTTTTTTCCCTCCATTTTATTATATGCCACTCATGATGGATGAATGAATAATGAACTCTAGAAAAACGTACCTGTATCTGAAACGTGAGCCCATGCGGATGAACCCAGAGCGGGTTGAACTGTTCTGGACCGGGCCACGTAGGCGGAAGAAGGCATGGTGCTCTACGGCACACTTCCACAGATGCTTGCAAGCTTTCGGATGGTCCATGCGGAAAACAAACGTGTGCTCCTGTTCTTTCCCCTACAGCAGAGGTCAAAATGTAAGAGCAATGTACTACTAATTTGTCCTCTGGTGTTACAAAATGAATAAAGAAGGCATACAAATTTAAAATCAAGAACATGATGACAAAAGTTGAGAACATATTGGCTTAACCACTGGGAAAAGTGACACCTTCGTTACATTATTAACAGAAGCTTATTTGACTTTGCTAGACAAAGTTATCTTTAAGGGTACACACATTTTTCCAAACTGCCAAAACTAAACAGCCATTTAGCTATATATACAATTAAGGCTATATGATGGGGGGGGTCTAACTAAAATGTCAGAACAAAAGACCTGTTGTGCATGTTTACAGGGCTGCACGATGTGGTAAAAAAATATTATTATTACTTAAAAAAAACGCTATTTTAGTTGCTGCTTATGTAGAGTATTTCAAAGCAGTCCTTCATGATTTTCCATTTAGGTTAGGATGCTGTCTTTGAAACAACTCGATAGGATTTGTAACAACGCAAGAGTTATTTTTCTCAGCTGTCATTCCACAGCCATTGAATGGTAACAAAGACAAAAAACAGATACCTCCAGTTGCTCAAACTAATTTCTATGTGCCCTGTTTGAGCAAATCAAATTATGTCTGAAGCTTTTATCAGTTGTACTGCAGAGGCAAAACCTCATCAGTGACCTGGGGGACTCACTGTGTAGAAATCAATGACATACTCAAGGAGACCTTGTACAACCTTATACAGGACAGACTACTAATAACATCATATGGGGACACTTTTCTGCGACAAACAACATATCACTGGTCACAGTCAACTGAACGAATTAACGCTCACAATTTGTACAGTGTCCAAACTTTTTTGGAATTGGGTTTGTACAACAGACTTCCAGACTCAACAGAAACCTATACTGCTGTGCACCAAACACAAGCCCAAAATACATGTTTGCTGGCTGTCTGACACCATCATATGCCATGACTTACATTGTTATTGTAGTTTCAAACTTAACAGAATGATGGGCAGTTCGGTCCACACATTCACAGCTTCAGTGCTTTAAAAAGTGTGAAGTGTTTCAGAGGCCAGGCATGCCTGAAGGGAGACTGTCATTTATTAACTCATGCTGGAGAGATGCCAAGCCTCAGCAAGAGCACATACACACACTTTTTCTTACACACAAAGTAGTTTTTCTGGGATGCACAAATACACATGCTTCACATCACATGTAAACTGCAAAATTGCATGCTACATTGCATTTGTAGCATAAACATAATATCCCCTAGACAACTTTGAAGGACCAACTACCAGCTGCTTATATGCAAACAAAACAACCATTTGATCACAGTCAGAAGTGGTCACAGGAGATGCATTTAAAGGGGTCATATGATGTTGCTAAAAATAACATTATTTTGTGTATTTGGTGTAATGAAATGTGTTTATGCGGTTTAAAGTAAAAAAAAAAAAAACACATTATTTTTTACATACTGTACATTATTGTTTCTCCTCTATGCCCCGCCTTTTTGAAACGTGTCGATTTTTACAAAGCTCATCGGTCTGAAAAGCGAGGTGTGCTGTGATTGGCCAGCTATCCAGTGCGTTGTGATTGGCCGAATACCTCAAGCGTGTGACAGAAATGTAACGCCCCTCACCATACTGTTGATGCCATGTCCAGCCGGAGTGACGAGACAAAAACATTAAAACCCATTACAAACTAGGCATTTGTTGCATCCAGTGGGGACATAATTACTGATTATAATGACTTATACTGTCTTTTTGCGCGTTGCATCGCGCCGCGTAAACATAAAACCCTGTCTGCATTTGTGATCGGAGAAATTACAAACAACAAGTGCTACTCTACACTGCCCAAAACTCGCGTTTGAATCATCAGCGACAAATTCTTTAAATGAAAACGTATTTACAGACGGAGTCAGAACAGCCGGCATTGTAGTCTACTCTTCCAGGATCAGTAAACAGTCCTCCATAAAACGTGCTGCACACATCTGGATATTTGGGTTAAACTGTTCTGGAACAGTGTTGTAAATACAACTTAACCACTTATTTGTAGTTGTGTCCTCTTTTGGAAGACCAAACAAAGTAGTGGTTTCACAACGAAAAACACGGCGGCCTAGTGTGAGCTGAGGCCGGGCTAGAGTGAGCAGAGGCGGCAGGGTTGAGAACGGCGTGGCCGGCGGATCCGACGAAGGAGCCGCGGCTTAGCGTGAGCTGAGGCGGCGGGGTTGAGAATGGCGCGGCCGGTGGATCCAACGAAGGAGCGCCAACCACATGTGACGACCCCAGGCTGGACTCCGCTTTGTCCACGGTGAAAGCAGATCCTGTGATCCACGGCGCGAAGTTGATGTATTCCCTCAGCCACCAGCACAGATCAGATCTTCACGACATGGCGGCGGTGGCAACAATACTACAGTGAGAATAAAAGTTACGCCTTCTTTCTTTGCGTGAACATTTGGGCGGCGTTATGCAAATCTTCCCACATAGTGAGGTAGATATGTGGGGGCGTGTTAGAACGAGCCGTTTTAGGTAGGCGTGGTTAACTCTTAACTTTTATAAAGAATATCTCTTTGGATTTGAGACTTTAGTCTTTGCAACTTTACAGATCTTCTTTATGCACCAAGAGCTTGTAACACTCCAAAGAGAAAGGAAAAATTGAAATCGCATCATATGACCCCTTTAAGGTGCATGTTAATATGAGATTTAAACCTAATTCAAGTCAAGAGTGTTCGTACTGTTTTTGATTATGTGTGAACCTGTATGTGTGTGTGTGTGTGTGTGCCTGTGTGGGTGAGATGTGTCTTTACCTCTTCTGTCTCCTGCATTACCTGTTCATCATCCTCCACTACCACCAGGGTGAGTTTGCTTTTCTTAAAGTCCAGACGCGTGATCTTGGGCCTGTGCAGACAACCAGTTTGCTTTAGATAAAATGGCCATTGTCATTACATTTACTGAAGTATGACAACAGCTGAGGACAAATATTGAAAATGTTACTAAACTTGTGGTCAATGATAAAGTGTGTCTGCAGTTTTTTTTATTTTTTTTTATTAAATTCAAGGATTTTTAGAACCTTTAAGACCTGCACAAATAAAATTTGCACTTTATAAAACGGACAGTTCCGGTTCTTGATTCTGATTGGTTGAGCCGCATTCGAAGCAGTTGTAAATTACTCTACAAACATGCACCTCTTTGTTCCTGTGTCTGTGTTGCCCGGCAACCACTTTGTTGCAACCACAACCATTTCTGAGGAACTACAATGTTTAGCGGAAGAATGTTTTTATTAATATCATTACATTTTATTGCTTTGTTTTATTTTGTGAAACATTGTTACATCTATGGAACCATTTTATAAAAGCAATAAACCCAGTGAAGCCATGGTTTACAGTGCATTTATAACAGCTAAGGGGGTTTTAGCAACACTAAACAACATTAACAACGCCCCTTAACTGTTATAAATTAAATGTAAACCACGGCTTCTTGGGGCTTATTGCTTTAGTATATCCATTCAGAACAAACGGATACAATCTCTAAATAAATCATGTATCTCAGAATATTTCACTTAAACACATTCAATGAGTACTTAACATTGTTTTTAAACAAAACAGGGTAACTGCAATTGTACTGTAATTGCTACATATATTGTAATATATGTACTGAAATTGGTTTATGTACCAATATATTAATAATAATGCATTTAAAGGAAGACAAACTACAGATTATTATGACAATACCAGTAAATTCTGTGTTAAATAAAAGCCACAAGAGTTTGTTAAATTAAATACCAGATATATTGTAGATGTATTGATATTGACCAGATGTATTGTTTGTATAATGACAAGAAAATAAGATGTAATGCCTGATGTGGGATTTTTAATTATAAACAAGTCTGAAACACAATAGTACCCTTATTTTTAAATGTCTATGCTTTACCACTTCCAGATGCTTATTCAGACAGATGAGGGAGATCACATTAAGCCATATCACAGTAACTTTTTCTGTCTCCAAATACAATACTTTCAAGACTTTTGTTACCTTAAATTTTATTAACTGAATTTAAGACTCAAGGACCTACAGGAACCCAGTTTTTATTGTTAAAATCACTCATTTTTTCAGAAAATGTAAAAATGCAGTTTTTTCTCCACAATTCCATTTTTGTAGCTGCTAGTGATGTATAAATGACACACTTGAGCTATTAAGAGCTGGTGAGGGAGAACTTACCAGAAGAACAGGCCAATCTTAGATTCCCCCTCAAACACGAGCACTCCGGTGGGGGTCAGGCCTAAGCTGTATTCATTTCCGTCTCGTGCCTGGAGGAGACGGCAACATAAAGAACAGATAAGTTTCTGGATATATCCGGATTGAAGAGAGTCCCCCTCAAGATCCTGATTTTAACAAGCTCTTGCATGCTTCAAATGCATACCTTGACCATATGCATGTCCACTCCATACATCTCCAGCCATTTGGCCTTATTTAGGTAGTTTATCTCAGCTTGTGCTGGCGTCTGGCCCCTGCGACATTAGCAAAGAACAGGGTAGAGCAAAATTTAAAGAAAATGAAACAACCCATGCTGCTGCACATCTGCTGTAGATTACAACTTGTCGAGGTTACAGTGATGGGTCATAAATCCCATACAAAGTGTTCAGTGTCAACAGTAGAGCTTTAGTTGAGTAGACAGGAGAGATCCAGGAAAAGTCAGAGGTGATGACCCACACATTGACGTTCATTCACCTGCTTTACATTTATATTTCCTCTCTAAACACTTACTTAAAAGGAGTCACCATGTGCGAATAGGAGGTGCGGTTTTATAGAATGAGCTCCCTTATTTATACCTGCACTCCTTCCACATGTTGTAGATAGCTGCTTCCATCTCTTCCGTCTGGTTTGGGATGAAGCGGAATTCTGACACCAGGTCAAGTCTGTGCTCGGCAGGGTCACAATCACCCAATTCAGCTGAAAAATAAAGGTTCCACAGATCAGCAACAAAAAAAAAAAGCAGAATTCAGCTGAATTTTTTTCGGTATAAAAATGACAGTTATCAGGACAGATTGCTCCATCATGGCCTGAACTGTATCAGTTTTTTTTTTTTTTAGAAAAATATTGTGATTGCACCTTTTGTCATAATGTTACAACTCAGTTCAAGTTGTTCCACAGCAGAGATGATTAGAAAGAAAGAGGACAAATCATTCTCTCCAACAGATAAAACAAGTCAGGAAATTACCCTCAAGACTTGAGATAACAGCATTAAAAAATGTTTCTAAATGAAAGCAGAGTGCTGTGCATTTATGTAGAAGATCAGAGCACAGTAGGAAGAGGGGGAATTAGGGGTCTTTCTTTCAGACCCTCACTAATGAGATGTCATTTATTTTTGAGAATGTGAGAGAAATGTTTCAAACCATTGTCAACCCTCTTTCTCTGTGACCCAAAATGCTACAGAAGTTCAGAACAAGCTGAGAATTGATTTTTTTATTTTTTATTTATGATTTAATGCCATGTCAGAAGCAATGGCTATATTCATGGCAAAAACTATTCAACTGCATCATTCAAACAATTCCATCAATATTCTTACAATAATTTAACAAATTTGCCTCAAAAGTAAACATATAAGAAAAACCTCAATAAAAATATAAACTAAAATAACAATAATAACAAAACAACAAAAATAACAATAATTACAGTTGAAGTCAAAAGAGTACATACACCTTGCAGAATCTGAAAAAGTTTTAGGAATATGTGGCACTAAAGACTTAAGTAATGGCTGCTGAAAATTCAGCTTGGTCATCACAAGAATACATTACACTTACATTAGAAACAGATGTAATAATATTTCACAATATTATTGTTTTACTGTATTTTTAAACAAATACATGTATTTTTAGCGAGTATAAGAAACTTGTAACATTTAAAAAAAATTATAATAATAACATACCAACACCAAACTTTTGAAAGGTAGTGAAATTCACAGATTTTCTGAATTGATTTCAAGAAACATACAGTTCTGTCACTCACCCTGTAAAGCATATGCAGCCAACTCCACTGCTGTGTCGAATGAGCACTCTAACCTGAAACAAAGATGATCACAATGTATTAGACAAAGTCATCAGAAATTTAAGGTTTATAAAACGTGCTTTTTTTCCATTTAATTATAGTGAGACATTTATCACAAATTGCATCAGATGTAAAAGTTTTTTGCAACAATACATCCAAACAACTTTTTTTGAGGCCACTGTATGTTTACAAATTAAGTTGTGTCAATGTAGACAACCCATTGGTCAAAAACACATTTAAATGTAAGTCAACCTTTAAATAATAAGCAGACAGATGTCATTCATTTTTAACATTCAAGACAATTCAAAATAACGCCACTTACTTGCCACTGAGAATATCCTGTTTTAACTGTAGTACAAAAAGGTATCTACAAGAGATAATGAAGATGAAAGCAGTGAGTGAAACAGTTGCGTGAATATTAATAGATTGGTAATGGTATAAACAGGATGTACCTTGTTAGCTCCTCGTGTAAGTTGTTGGGCTCTGAGGAGTAGAACTTTACTCTCACATGGAGGCAATATGGTGGTCCAACTGAAACAAGCCAAAAGGCAGAGACCATAACATGATATGGTCAACAAAGCAAAATGCCTTACTAGAAATTAAGTTTCTAGTGCACAAGTGTACAGCTTGTGGAGTAAAAAAATAATTACCGCTAAAGGTTGCAGAACAGAAATGGAATTTCAGAAAGAATGTCATGCAAGTGATAAAATACAAAGTTTCCATGCATGGTTCATCATTACCTGCCCTTCACAGACATAGTAAAGCATTAACTTTATACAAACAGCTATTTTTGAGAGCACTAAGGAAAAATGTTGCTCTGTTCCCAAGACTTGTGTGCTGCCTACCTAGATAACACAATGCAAAGCAGCCCACAAGGTTTGAAACAGAGCTTCTGAGTAAAAAAAACATTGTTAATTCTGTATGGAGGAGTGCTTGAGTGCATTGTATCAGGCATTAAAGTCGCTCATCTAATTAAACCTGTCCAAAACAACATCTACCAAGAACTGAGTTCAGTAGTAAGAACAGCATTTTACTTACTTTTGACTTGCTTTTTGATGCTTTTGGTGACATCAAGCCAGTGCTGCAAATGTAAGAAAATGAAACATGTCACATGTTTGGGGATGTGGAGAACCTTAAGTTTTCTGCATATAAAATATTAAAAATATTAACCTCATGATAGTCCTTTTGATGTTTTTATTCAAGACATTATTACATTTAACAACATGTCTGGTTAAAAAAAAAAAAACGGTAAAAATGGTAATTCATCAGTCACTTTGGCTGGCGGTAGTGGTCGACCGATATATTGCCAAGGCCGATATATATATATATATATATATATATATATATATATATATATATACAGTGGGGAA